GGGTTGGACTGGATGACCCACAGAGGTCCCTTCCAACCCCTACTATTCTGTGATTCTGTGAAGCAGGGTCACCCAGAGCAGGCTGCACAGCACCATGTCCAGGCGGGGCTGGAATATCTCCAGAGAAGGAGACTCCACAGCCTCCCTGGGCAGCCTGTAAATGTAGTCCTTGAGTCTTCAGCTTGTTAATTCAGCTCATTAATTGGCTTCCCATGCCTGTGAGATGAGGAAGATAGATTGCATCACATGTCTTTCCACTTGTCTTGTTCTAACTTTAGACATTTTGGACATTAGGGCTGTATTTAGTTTGACTGAAAAAAAGTCCCAGTGTTTTATGTGGAATTTTGTTTCAATTTCCGTAGCTCTTGGAGCTGTTCCATCTCCCTTTGACTGTTACCTGTGCAATCGTGGCTTGAAGACACTAAAAGTCCGGATGAAGCAGCATTTCCACAACGCATTAGCTGTTGCTCGATTTCTGGAGTCAGATTCCCGGGTGGAGAAAGTGATTTTCCCAGGTGGGTCGGCAAGACTCCGGCGCGGCTGACGTCTCGCCGCGGGGCTGGGTTTGGGGGCTGGGGTGCTGGGTGCCGCTTGTGCACCCTGCCCACGTGGTGACTCTGGCTTCGGTGTCGCCTTGGCGGTGGGCTGCTCCTGCGTGGCTGGGGCTGAGCTGCTTTACCCTTCGAAGCAATGGCAATTCATGCAAATTCTGCAAATTTCAGGCTTGCCTTCACACCCTCAGCACGAGCTGGTCAAGCGGCAGTGTACTGGCTGTCCTGGGATGGTCACCTTTTACATCAAAGGAAATCTCGCCCATGCTGCTACGTTTCTGAAGAGTTTAAAGGTAAATGATGGTGAATATGCACCACCTTGGACGGGCCCCAGCCTGCCCTTCGGAGGGTGACGATGGGAGGAAGTGTTTTCTCTTGGGGTGGGGAGAGTCCTCCTCTGTACTTGCAAAGCTCCTGAAGTCTTTTGGGTGTAACCATCTCTAAATAATAGATTATTTGTAAATGAGAGGCTAATGAGAGGGATGAAAAGGATGCCTGGGCTCATTTGAAGGATTTGTTTACGCAGGAGGGTGTAGTATATCCAGCTTAGCTCAGCCACTGCTGCTAATGAAGGGCCTGCGTAGCAGCCTTTTGCAAAAAGACCTGTAGTACTTGAAAGCAGAGAAGCCGTGGCTGGTGCAACGGTGTTGTAATAGTTCAAAGTGCTCATCAGGACAAAAACTCGTGGAGAAATGACATGAAGCAAAGAGGGAGTCCCTCAGTTTGGGGACCAGTTGTTTGTTTATTTTGCCTAAACTATAGGCTTTTGTCTTTGCAGTGTATTGATTCTGCCTGTACTCTGTAATGTGGTTGCTAGTCTTGATCTCTGGTTAATTTGCATCCTGCTCTTGTATTTTTGCTGTTTTGTTCTTGGAAAAACAAGTCAGTAATAATTGACGAAGGTAAACCAGACAGTCCTTCTCCTCTGTATCTTTCTTACTTGCCAGCTAATGTCATCAACTGAAAATGAATTTACTAAAAATATGATTTTCCCCAAAAAGATCCTTTTGCATGAGAGAGAGCGTTTAATCCTGGCAGAGGAGATTTACCAGCTTTGACAAAAAGCATCAGAGAGTGCGTTCCAGAAGTAGTCCCTTATGAGTACGTTCACTTCAGCCCTGTGACTTGGATAACCATCGGTTTGTCACTAGGCTGGTGCAGCAGTAAAGCCATTTCCTTAAACCAGGCTGAGGATTCTTTGGTTGATAGGTTTAGTTTGTTTGTTTGTTTGTTTTTTAAATGAAAAGAAAGTGAGTATGAGCAAAGCCATCACTTCTCTGGAGAGAAATGTTCACAGAATATCACAGAATAGTAGGGGTTGGAAGGGACCTCTGTGGGTCACCCAGTCCAACCCCCCTGCCGAAGCAGGGTCACCTACAGCAGGCTGCACAGGACCTTGTCCAGGCGGG